CAGTAGTCAAAATGTAAAAATTAATCTATGGAATATTAATTATGCTAGAAGCCTTTTATATGTTAACAAAAAAATTGCCCAATTTTCCTTACAAATTGTGTAAAAAAAATAAACCTTGTTTCATGGTGTCTATGTGAAACTCATGGCCCACAATTGTTCTACATATAATGTAAATCTTTTAAAAAATGAGATTTGAATGCAAAGAAGTGGTCTTAAACAGTCATTAGACCAAAGTCACATGACATTTGAAAACAAAAGTAAATCAACAAACTTGATTAATTCAGAGCATTCCAATTACTTTGAAACCAACTTATACTACCAAATTGTTCAAAAAAATCAAGCCTAAAAAGAACCATGCAGGTACAAACATGAGCACGGTAATAAAAAGATTAAGGAGTACATACCTGAAGAAATGCAGGGTTTTCATTTGCTGCCATTATGTTGAATCGTGGAATGAATCTGAAGCCTTCCCCCCACTCTTTGTGTCGTCGACAAGGCTCGAAATGCCCCTCGGTCTCCATCGACGCATCCTTGGACTCTGGTTCAGGTGATCGTTGGATTAGGGTTTGGGCGAGAAGGTGATGTCAGCTTTATGCCCAACGTAGATGTGGGCGCATGTTTAGGGTTTGGCTCTGCTGGCTGCTGGTGCGCATTCACATCATACTTATTGCCCACGTTGCTGCAGTCCGTCGCACAACTGTTGGGTATATAGACTGCCTGGCTGATGGATGTCACAGACCAGGGTGTCCGTGGGTGGATCGATGGGCTTCTGCGCATTGGCGGAGAGCCTCTCTCCCTCCGATATGGGGTGCTTAGGTTTGCGACGATGTGTCTGCGTGTGATGAACCGGGATCGAGGAGGTGTTAGCGAGTCGAGTTTGGTTGTGATGGGGGGCTTAGGGTTTAGTTGCTCAGCCAAGGATGGTTACCTCTACGGGCGTTAGTTGTGGGTGGTGCTGGGACCTTGTTTGACAAGGAGAACCTCCTCAGTATGCCTCCTGCATTTCTGTGACGCTTCAATGTAAACTGAGGCTTCCTGGTGGGTGCTACGGCGTTTGAAGAGTAGACGGTTGCTGTCTGTCTGGGTGTAATTGTAATCGCAGTGAGGTGTGGGGGCGAAGCCGTTGATGAAGATGATACCCAAAGCTTCTGATTTCTGTGATGCTCAAGCTAGCACCATCTTTCGACTGAGGCTCGGTGTGTTAAGGGGATGGGTGGAAGGGAGGCTGGATGAAGATAGAATACATAGACCTGTTCTGAACCTTTGTGTGGAACAAACATGCACTACCAACTGACAGCCTTTCTGTGGAGAGTTTCGTACGTTAGTGGGTACTTTCGGGAGTGGTAGAGATGACGGGTGTAGCACCCTTGGCGGGGTGCTACATTAGCAGCGTGGAGCGGCATTGGCATCCACTTGATGCCGTTGTGGCCGTAGAGTCCTTTGCTAACGTCAAAGACAGACTTGTTCACGGAGAGGCCCGCTGTGCATTCGTGTGCGGTGGGTTTATCGGTGGACGCGGGGTGGCATATTCCATTGCCCTGGGGAGTGGCGTCGCTGCGATTACCCTTTGGGACAGACCATGCGACCTACAGAGAGACATCATCTGTTTGAGCGGGTTAAGCGTGCGTAGCGAAGAGGTCGATGATTACAACCATTCAAAATACCATCTTTCGGATCGTAGACACTTTCGGGTGGTGACGATGCTGATACGTATGATGGCCTCATGGAGTAGAGGGTTTATGGGGGTCTGCGTCCTGTACAAAAAGCAGAGGTCATTGATATCCCAATGAGCTGATCTCTCGTCAGTTGCAGGAAGAGCTTATGCATCATTTTTAGGTGGTGAGCCACTGTCTGTTTGATGGCAACAGGTTCAATCCATGGTGCGAGATTTGTACAACTTCTGGGTCGACGCGTCTTAGTGTTGGTCGTGTGCACTGAATGTGCGATGTAGTTTTTCTGTCACGAAGGGGTCTGCACGACTGGTACACTTTTCTATGCGCCCGTCTGGGAACTCATCCGGCTATACGTCATTGAACTGGGGGCTTTCCGCGGGGATATTCATGACCTTATCTGCTCATCCACTTCCTTGGACCCATGTAAGGGAGAGCAGCGCAGTGGACGAGTTCGGAGTGGTCAGTTTAAATTACAAAACAAATGGTGAAGAAATCTGTTACGCAATGAACATTCGGAAAAATCTTATAAATAAATCTGAGTAATGAAATTGTTCAACAGCGAAAGCTGTTGACAAGGGCACCAATAAAATGTTTGACAAACCGCGCACAGTGAATACTATGGAAAATGCCTCATCGGAAATGTCCAAAAAGTATTCTATACAGCGAGCGGAGAATAGTGGGGAGCACAATAAATCGTCTAATACATATGCGTGGGTAATATGCACGAGCAGCTGTTAATTCTCATTTATTAGCCCTCGTAATGACTTGAAAGAACACGTTTATAGCAGCGGGCGACTGCAATTTCTCCATACGACAAGTGACAGCCTGATGAACTTTTGAATTCATTTGACCTCTCCCCTCACTTCTGTCAAAGTTTGTGCAACATCAAACATGGAAACATTTCTACGCTTCCCAGCTCTACGACGCACGAACACTCTATAAACTCGCAGAACACTTCCCATTCTGCGACAGATTGTCCATCCAAAAGACGGTGCCCCAAACTATGCAGGGTGGGTGATAATTGAACCTCACTCCATCTACCTCCAGAGAAAGCTTTCAACCTTCCCAACTACCGTGTAACCCTCTCAACCTTCACGTTTGCGCCTACTCGTCAGTTAAACCCTCCAGTGAACTCCTCACTCACAATCTCATTAGGCCTATTACCTTGCGCTATGTCGTCGAGGATTTTGCATGCAATGCAAATACGCCGCACCATACAACCAAAACTGTCCACTCTGAACCATGTGCAACATAGAAGATGGATACAATTATGTGATTCGAAGCACCGTCACACACACTCTCAATTCGCATAACACCCCTCCTCTCAGGAATTGCCATGTCCTGTCTCCACTCTGAAGAACCTCGTCCTTCCTCGCCAGGGCACTTGCTTAATCCTACACTACGGACCAAATATACAATATCCCACACGACACGAGCTCCGCAACAGATCGTACAAACCAGGATCTTCTCGGCCAGCAGTACAACCCCGACGCACCGCCCTCCGTCACGTCCCCTCAAAAAACTTGCTGCAAACACCACAAGCCCCCAACTCGCGTCAATAGTCAATATCCCATTGCTGCGAACCTCCGACATGCAATGCGTCCACGCAGCATAGCGGTGCTCCTAACATGCTCGCCATCCATCGAAAACAAATCGCCCATGGACGCGAGCCCAACCAAACATAAATCGAGCGTAGCCATTTCCATGCCCGTCCAACGATGATTCCCAGCCACCCGGCATCGTGAGGACGCTCTATCCCATCGATAAAAAAAACCTGGTTCACATTCACGAGCGGGCGAATGTCAAACTCCTCACCTTTTCACAGTGTCGACGCCACCTTCTTCCCCGACGTGGGCAAGCGACACCAAATATGTGCAAGCTCCTGTGCAGGAACTTCACCCTGCAAACAGCTCCTCTCCTCGTCTTCGCTCCCACCCCCCCCCCCCCCAAGGGGCTGGAACACACCTCCAAAGGAACGGGACACTGCGGTGGGGCGGGGCGACTTCCTGAACCCAGGTTATCTGCAAGCGTCGCACTGCCTTCCTGTACACAAATAGCACTATATATCGACAAGCGTACCACGAGACCGAGGAGTTGAAAGATTTCTACACGCATGCGTGCAGCCGGACACTCAAATGCACGTCGTGATGTTCGAGCTGCTAAACTTCTCGCACGTCTGTACCGCCTGCTGCTCCATCACGGGCGCCTTGTTCCCCTGCCCTATCGCCTGCAGCCGCAGGCGCATGATTTCCAGCTTCAGATTCTCCCGTCTCTCCATGTGCTTCTCCTGCATCTCCAGCTTCTGATCCGCCAGCTTCTGTTGCAGCTCCAGCCGCCGCTCCTCCATCTTCAGCTTCCTCTCCCTGTGCCTATCCTCGCTCTCCTGCCGTCTCTGCTCCATCCTCTCCAGAAACTCCAGCCGCCGCTGTTCCATGGCCACGTTCATCTCCATCTTCGCCTGTTCCACGCGAGCGCACGTGTCTGCGAAGCCCTGAACGATCTTCGCCAGGTTCGCAGCCGTGATGCCAGTCCCCAGCTTCCTGCGCTTCACGTTCTCTCTGCTGGGCTCCACACCCGCATTGCCGCGGCAACGGGTGCACGGAGACGGCGGAGCCTGATCGGCACGCGGAGGACAATGCTCCTCGTGACAATCGCCGATCCTCGACGCCGCACCGTCCTTCACGTTCACGCCCTGGTGATCGCCATTAACCTCGGGCTGCATCGCGGCCACAAACGGAACCAACCGGCCGCTGTCCTGGTGGTGCATCACGTCCGCCGGATGGGCATGGGCGGCCTCCACGCGATGCTGGAGCGGGTGTACCCCGCCCACTGGGCCAATGCCAATGCCGCACATCTCCCGCTTCGGCGTCCCCCACAGCATGTCGCACCGATCGTACCACTTCCACGTGATCAAACTCCGGTCGCTCTCGCCCTTGCTCAGCTTCTCTCGCTTATACCGCTTCTTCAGCGAGTCAATCTTGTTCTTCATCTGCGGCTGCTCCCGCTGGTGCGTCAGCCGCGCGTTCACCTCGCGCACCACCGTCTCCCAATGCCGCTTCCCCAAATTCTCCCGCTTCACGTGAATGTACGTATCGCCCCAAACGTCTAGCAGCGCCTCCACCTCCTCGTCAATCCACGTCTCCCTCTCCGACCCCAGGTTCTGCAGGCCTGACGTGCCATCCATCCTCTCCCCCTAACCCCAAGCCAAAAAAAGCAGAAAAGGAACAATCCTCTTTACACCTCCGCACAACAATCAACGTCCTCGCCACTACTACCCCTCAACACACAAGCCAACACTGCACACGACATCGTCCATCACAGCAGCAGCAGCAGTTCAATCAGCAATTCAGCAAGCAACACGAGCTCACTTCGGCCAGGTACTCCATCATCATCACACCGAGCCCGACCACACTGACCGCAAACCCTACGGGGCGGCCCGCCCCGAAGAGCACAATCCGCCTCCCGAGCTCAGTTGGTCACCAATTCGAAAACCGCAAACGGGGAAGCGCGCGGCAGGTACCGGCGGCAGCGCGAGGCCGAGGGGGCGCAGCAGAAACTTTCCGATCCGACCACGAATCCGAGACGGCCGACGAGCGCTGCTGCTGGGCTGCGGTGAGTCCGGGAGTCCGAGGCCACGAAAGTGAGACTCTGCGACGCTCGCCCGCCTCCGCCCTCTCTCTAGGGCTTGCGGCAGCGGCCGGCCCACGCCACGCCATCCACACACTGTTCTGTAGCTTTTACTTTTTGACGTGGAGTAAAGCCAAGCCGGAAAAAAGTATCATAAAAGATTCTCCCGCTTCAGATGTATCCCAGTTCCACTACCGCATCCCATTATAATACGCCGAACCCAGCACCAAAATAAGCTATGGCGGCACACGCGAGAGCTTGGAATCTCAAGGCCCCCCGCGCAGCCCACTGAGACTCCTCCGCGGGTTCCAGCTCCGGCGTGAGGCCAAACCCGCAATCTTCTTTCGCTCCTCCTCGCTCATCCCATGGTCCGGAGCCTCGCCGTTCCGCGACATTGTCCGGTTGGAGGCGTCCCGGCAGACATTCTCGCTCGGCATCGGCACGCACGATGTGGATCGGTGTGTCGAGTGGGGCACACCGATCTTTCAGTTCCCGTCAAGTGTCCTGACAATGCCACAGATGAGACGAAATTGTTGGAATCGTAGTCTGATACCATCTGCCGGTGGGTTCAGGGGTTCGCGTTGCGATCGTGGCTTGCACTGCAGAACCGATTCCTCGTCCGATGTGGGCCAAGCCGGGAGTGGTGGTGGTGCCCCAGAATTGTTCCCGGGGTGGGAATGGATCGGAACGGTTTTCTGTGCAGGGCCTTGCCTAGTGTCGTTGGCGTTGGAACCATTCACCCTCGTATACGTCGATGACTCCCAGAGCGCCACAGGATGCAAGTGGGTCCGCCGGACGAGGTGGCAGTTTGCACATTTTCTAGTTGCAGCTCGCACGAGATTCACCCTGGATTGTTGGGATGCTCGGCATGCAGATACGAGTCCACTGCGGACCGGCACTTGAACAGCGGCAGCCTGCTGCCGGACTCTCGAGGCTTCCTTTGCTACTGCAGGCTTGCAATGTGGGAGCATTGGGGAGTACCGGTTGCGCACAGGACCACTTTTTTAAGCGCAGGCAGGTTGTTGTCCGGAGGGAAAGAGCGGTGGTTTCCCTCACATTGATATCCGTCTTTCTACTGGAGGCGCAGTAACTTACTGTACAGATTAGTGGCGGTCAGGATGTCAGTCAGCTCTCGCAAGTTGAGGTGGTGTTATTTGCTGAAGTGGTGTGCGCAGAGCTACTTTGGATGCAGGCGTGTTCTTCCAGGGACGGTCATGGATTTTGACGGGCCTTCTTTGTCGAATCAAGCCTCGAAGGTTGAGATTTGAATGGTGGTTGTGTCGGAAATCGTGGATTCAGGTGGGAGCGGGGACTGCGTACCTCCTGCTGGAGGCGCCAGTAATATCGTCCATGACCCCCTGCTCACACTCGGTGTGTGAGGTGGCTAGCTTAGTTGCAGGTGACCGATGGTTTTAGTTCGCGTAGGTGGCTGGGTGCGGGAGATACATGTCGGTGGATGGCGACGAACTCGGTGGGATGAATATACAGTATTCTGAGCTTGATGCGGCGGACTGGTGCTTTTTGAGAGGGGTGCTGGCAATGGCACTGAGTTCAGGAGTTCGTGTGTGCCACTCGACGACAAGCATGTGTTGGTTTCCTGCGGAAGCCTCCTTGGCAGGATCCCCTGGCACAAGCATCGACCATATACGGAGTGAGATGCAGGAAGCCGAGTGCAAGTATTTTGGGCGCCTGTCAGCGTGACGGCGTCCTGACGTATCGTGAGAAATAGCGCACAGAGGTCGGCCGAGAACTATTTGCACATGCTCGTGCAGAATCGAGGTCATCGCCGACCGGGAGAACTGGACAGGCCGTCTCGTGGGAAACGTGCTGGTGCTGCCGAAAGACAAGCCTGTTCGTTTCCTGGCACACAAAGACGTGTGAACGTCAGGGCGAAGGTGTTCATCAAGGTACTGGGGAGCCATTGCATTGTTCAACCCGAGAGTTGACGGGGTAGGAAGCAAAAGTTAATGCAAGGTTGATTGGTAGGGAGTGGGCTCAGCAACAACCATGCCTGCACATGAGCTCAGCGGTTTCGGCAACAGAGTTGCAACGGTCTCTGCAGGCTTGTGTACGCGTAACGGAAAGTACTTCAGATAGTTAGACCGGCGAATTTTATTCAAACAAGATAGTCACTTGATTGAGTGTGGCCAAGTTGAATGCAGTTGCGACAAAATTGGAGAATTTTTCCAAGCATATTAAATGAATGACATTAATAAGGACAACTGCGAAAAGGTTAGGATGAGAAAGATTTCATGAGGCAAACCGTCTATAATAATTATTCAAGCTTCAACAGCATGCCATTATGGACACAACCTCCATGGAGGAGGTGTTCAACAATTGATATTGAAATTCGAACGTACTACATTAAGGACCCAAAATTATTGAGTTGGTGCACTTCTACACAAGATACGCAGGGCTCGTGTGTAGATCCATAGCAGGCACCGGCAAGCTGCTCCTTCCCGGAGACCCTTGGCCCCAAAAGAATTGTCGTTTCCACCCTTGCTTCGGCGCTACCCTCGCCAGATCAGAAGCAGCCATGGCTTTTTCTCTTGGCTGCTCTGACTCGGGGGAAGCTCTCGTCGTGAGATCTTCATTGTTTGCTCGAGATTGTGGGTGTTCTGTATCCCTATCGTTTGTCATATTGTACAAGTGGTGCCGTCACCAATTCTGACGCCGAACTTGGTGCGCACCAGTGCGAGGGGCTGGCGAACTGTCCTCGCGGTGGGCAAGCGTGCAGGATGTGATTGCCAGGTTAGATTTTCCATGTTTCGACGGAGCTGTGTTCCGTCCTAATGGCCACAGCCGTGTGCTAGACATGAACCAAGGCCGTTCGCGACATCCCAGTGGTATAATTGATCAAGATCAAAATAACAGGATGGTACGCATGTTCGATGCACCGACGATTCCTGTAGAGCCCGGGTGGTGGAGATTGGCTGTTGCGACTTGGTCACTTTGAGTTTCGACTCGGCAGAGTGAAAGGCCCCTTACGGTGCCTTGGAAACCGGTGCAGTGTTCTTTGCGACTCTGGATTCGGCGCAGGGTATCAGTTTGAGGAGCAGCGCCTTCCCTCGCCCCTTTTTCATGGTCTTCACCCTGGACTTGCGCTGTTCAAGCTCAATCAAGTTGATGGTGTCAGAGTGGAACATAACTAGAAAGCAGACAAGGATGGTCTGAGATGCGAAAACGAACTCGAAAGTAAATGGTGGCGGGATTGACACCCTATAGATAAGGATCTTACCATCAAAAACTCGGGCTGGGGTGATGCCCTTCTACAGCAAAGAGGGCTCCCTCTCTGCGATCCACGCTCCGCATAGACTCTGAATTCAAGCAATATTTCAGTGCATTTTTAGAGTGTATACGCTAACTAATGGCATTCGTAACTCGTACATTCTCTGCATCTGTTGCAATCGTTTGAATGAGCATGTGCTTACATGTTAGTGCGGCGGTCAAAATTTGCTGACAAGGAGCTGTCGGCTCGCTGCTGCGAGATCTTTCGCTGGGCCGACTGAAGGTCTTCAATCTCGCTTAGAGGCTCCTCCACCATAGTACTCAACTGTTTTTTGCCTCTATATGCCAAAATATCGCCACCGACGTCACCGAAACTGCCAGAATCCCGTGAGCCTACCTTCGTCTCTCGCACTGGAATGACCGTTTGGGTTGCTCCAGAGCTTGCTCTTGCAGAACCGGTTCGTTTCACCCTTCGCCTCCGACTTGGTGGCGGCCGGCGAGGAGTGATGGCGCTGGGGTCTGAATTCTGCTGTATTTGCAGTTGAGTGTCTGCTACGTCTCTTGCTTGACGATGCCTACGAGGTCTCGTGGTTCGTCTCCGATGGCTACGTGAACGCGCTTCCTGCATGTCTTGAAGATGGGCATCGTAAGAAATGGGGTCCTCATCCGTAACCCACTTGTTTCTGTATTGACCTTGAGTTGATGGGCCCGATTGACTGTACGATTCACTGCTGGAATCCTCGGTCACAATTTCGGAGTTTTTGTGTTGAGTGGATGTGCCCGGCTTTGTGCCAACCATTGTTTCACCAGCGCGTGCCAGCGAACCATCGCCAGGTGCAACTTCGCACAAACCGATTCGAAGCTCAACCGCGGTGTTCAGCACGGCTTGAAATGCAATGCAGATGCTCCGCCATGACCGCTCTGCTTTGTGTTTATCGCGCGGGTGATCGAACTCCAATGCGACTATAGCACGCGAGCCATCTGGATATTCACAGCACAAGCGTAATATTGAACCATTACACCCTAAACCATATTCTCAGGGAATCCCTTGCAGGATCGGGATAACAAGTATCAGAAGCATGGTTTTTTTTCAGAAAAATTACCAATAGCTGCGCCTGCTGCAACAAGTCGCGCGTCTGTATGCAGAAGCTGCCTCAAACTCCTCGACGTTATCTCCGACAGCACTCGGTTCCAAAGCCTAGCCAAAATTTCTTCTCCAAATACCTGAAAATCTAACGTCGTCTCTGGTTCATGTCTTAGTGGTTTTGAAGTCTCTGCAAGCTGCAGTTCCTCGAATCCCTGTTGTTCAGCTGGCTTCCGACCCCAATCTTCCTCAAATGTCTGCTCCGAGACCGGTATTTCATGGTCCTCAGGAACTTCGGGAGGTCTTTTTTCTTTTTCAACGTTTGCTTCAAGAGATTGACCAACCACTGCAGACACTGGAACTTGGTTCTGATGCTCTGGTTTGTTCATCACTGGTTGCTCCGCCCTATAAATGGCGTTTATAGGCGCCACAGTAGGGCTTTGGGCAACACTGTTGTTTGCTTCGGAAGGAACAAACGACCGATCGGGAGCAAATTGCAAAAGCGCGGCTGTCAGCCAGGTCGCCTTATCGGTTGCCGCTCGAATTCTATGTGTGTCAGATACTCTATATAGTAGACCAAACAAGAAGTTAAATAGTTGAGTTTCAACGAAAAAGCTAGTTAGAACTTGATTAAACAAGATGAGTACAACATCAGTACCAAAAGAGGTGACCTAGAGCTCTAAGAGATGTATTGTCAAGAATAAGGATTTCCTTAGCCTCGACTCCAATATGTATTAAATATTAGGAAGCTTCTCAAGAAGTTCCTATGTTACTTGAAGACAAAGCAATCTTAAGAAGTTTCTCAAGTAACTTCCTTAATCTTCTTAGAACTTGTTGGAATATTTTAAAAATTTTCTAAAACCTCTTAAAATATTCTAAGAATCTTTTAAAGAATCTTTTGGAATCATTTAGAACATGATAAAATATTCTAAAAATATTTCCATAATCTTCTTGTTAGATTTTTGTAATACTATGAATAAAAAAGATTTATTGTCATTGCCTTAATTATTTAATTATAATAATTTTAAAAAGTTAATATATACTAATTTGTATGAATCTTTATGAAATAAGCTCAAGTTATATGTTTGTTTTTAATTTTATAAAAGAAATATTTAAAAAAATTCGAATTTATTTTATTTCCAAGCAACATTGTATCATATAATACCATATTATTAGAACTTGTTTATTTTGATGATTTTTTATAAATAAAAACCATGATAACGATATGATATAATTTTTTTTGATATTTATTAATATTTTTTAAAATTTTTATAATTTAAAGTTAGAATTTTTAGAAAAATGAATGATTTTAAGGCAAATGCAAAGTAGTTATATATAAATATCAAGACATTAAGAATGAGAAATAATAACAAGTATATGTCAAAATAATTTGATAATTCTAAAATGATAATTGAAGTATAAATAAATTATAAATAAATTATTAATATCATATGTTATATAATAATAATAAATTATATCTATTACTTTGATTTAGAATTATGCCAAAAAAAATATGTTCAATATTGTTTATATATGTAGTAGATGTTATAAAAGTATCATAATATTATTGGTACTGAAAAAGCTTTAAGTGAAAGAAGATATAATATTTTTACTTTTAAATATATATATATATATATATATATATATATGCAAAAATATAAGATTATATAAAAAAAATTAATATGAAAAATTCAAAGTATGTATGTTTTAGAATTTCAAAAATGTACTAAGATTTATAGATTAATATTTTTTGATAAAAAAATATTATTGAAGCAATGATATTAAAATTTTAAAGCATTTAAAATATATTTAAGAAGAAACAATGGTGTCTTTGTAAACACATCTTTTAATTCTGTCAATCTTTAAATATAAAAGTTTTTAGTGCAAAATATAAAGACTTAGAAGTATAACAAACAAGAACATTTTATTCATCTAAACAGCCAAAATAGTCATGAGAAAGATTGCAAAAATTAAAAAAGATGTAAAACATAGAAACCAACAATCTATTAAAAAAAAATGTCATATTGGAGATAAGAAATTACTCTATAAATAGTAGAAAAGTTACATCTTTTGTAAAATTAAGAAAAATTTATATATCAAAGTTTTATTTTATTTTATTTTATTTTATTTTTGTAGCTAATGTAATATTAATACTAATTTCTACTCAAAATTGCTTATAAGGATTAATGCCATAAACTTCAAAGATGCAATTGAATAAGAATATGAAATGGAAGATGAATATTTATTTTTGTAAACAGCAATATATAGAAATTAACTAAACTTCATTTACATTGCACAAACATTTGTTATAAGTAGGTATTTTGCACCAAAAAAGATATCTTTGATGTAATAATATATTATATGATAAGATTTATTTCCAAAAGATATCAAAATGCATAATTAAAGAAAAAAAATTAATTTATGTAAAATAGTAGTAAATTAACTTATATACAATAGTAAAAATATAAATTGATCTTGTATATCTATGAATTCTTTTAAATCTATATATATATATATATATATATATATATATATTCAAAGTTAGCTCTATGTATTAGATAATAGTAGAAAAAATCATAAAACACATAAAAGATATATTGAATATTTAATAGTGTCAAAGATATAAATTAAGACAAAACTTTGAAAAAAAATATATTCTTATATCATTGAAAGAGAAAAAATACAAAAATTATATATATATATATATATATATATATATATTCTAGAATAAATATTATTAATTACAAAAATACTAAAGAAACTTGAACTAAGACCAAAATGTTATAAAAAGTATTGACAAGACTAAAAATGGCTTGAATCTTGCTTCCATATATTAGTTACTAAGGTTTTGAAGAATCTTCTTATAGACTACTTTAACAAATCTTTATATTATTTAAGTAAATAAAAATAGAAAAAAATAGAATAGAAAAATAATATATTTTCTAAAAAGCTTTGAAGAAGTCTTTTTAGTGTACATTATATATTTAGAATTTTATAGATATGCCATGTGGCTATTGAAATGTGTTGAAGTTTTTAACTTTTAAGAAGTTATATTGAAACAACTTATAACTTCGTACTTGGATCACAACCATTATGTCACAAATATTTTGATACTAATAATTATTAACATAAAAAGAATTAAGTAGAAATAAATAAAAGTAGATAAATTCAATAATATCTTATAAAAAAGCTTTTTAAAAGCTTTAAAAACGTAGTTTTGACTTTATAAGTTTTTCTAGGTGATTGATTATTTATAAATTTAGTCCAAAAATTAGCCACTCAATATATAAGTTTGCCATATGGCATACATGTTGGAAATTTGCCTTAAAACTTAGATACATGTCAAATGATCTATATAGAAACAAGAATGAGGCCTTCATCAATTTTATCAACTCTTTTTTTACTTGTAGACTATTTTCAAGAATTTGTAGTTTTTTTTATCATTGGCAATAGCTATTCAATTTTTTTCTTGAATATACATATTTTTTCACTATTTTTATGTCATTTTTTTTAAGACCCAGTTCACTTATTTAATTACATTATTTAAGTTTTTATCTTTAATAAATTGATAAAAATGTCTTTATAATATGAAAGCTTTTTCATTTCTTAATTTAAAAAAATATCATATTAGAAGTTGTAGAGTTATACATCTAAATTGATATTATTCTTAGAATTTTTTTTTATTCATGTGTCTTCTCTTTTATTTGTTTTAAGTGATATTAAGTTTTTTTTTAATATATTATTATTGCAAAGCTTCTTGAAATGAAGGGTGCAATAATACAAATAGATGAGGAAATGAGGGAGTTAATGATGGCAATGCATCAACTCAATTCACTACCATAAGCAGAAATAAGTTTGGTTGGAAGTAAAGATGTAAAAATAATTGGAGCTGCTTCAATATCAATACCAAATCATATTGCTTTTTCTACATTAGAATACTATTTAAGTGTCATCACAAGTAATAGTAAATAAAAAATTATCTTATTTAAAGAAATTTAATATAAGATGAATATTATAAAATTTTATTAATTAAGTATAATTGATGATTGAGGTTTAATCTTAAAGTTATGAAAGTCTAAAATCACAAAGAAGGTTTATTATGACAATGCTTTCAAGTTTAGCTTATTATGGTTTTTATCTTTTTTAAAATAATATGATTCAATATTGGATAATTTAGAGTTTTTTTAGTAAGATTTTCATCCATGTATAAAAAACATAATGTAATTTGTTTTGAAACCAATATAATTTGTATTTTTCATCAAGGCAAGAAGTTGAATATTATTATAAGCATTATAATTCTAAAAACTTATACATAATATCAAATAAGATAATATTGCATCTATTAGCTATTTTTTCAATAAATTGCAATACAAAGTAAATAAATTGATGCTAATCTTACATAATTTTTAACATTGAATTAAGAAATTGAATTTCTTATCAAGTACAATAATTGGCTTTTAAAATTTTGATATAAAAAGCTTGACAAAGACATAAATCACAAATAATAAAAACTTCAATACACTCTTGTATCACTCCAAAAAAGTAGATATTCACTCAAAAGTAGTATATTATTAGAACTAGAATGGCTATTGGTAAGAATAAGAAGAGTAGAAATTCTTAAAACTAGATTAAGAATAAGAAAGGTGTTGACAAGAGTAAAGAAGGCTTCACCCTTATCACTATCTAACTATCTAAGTAGGAGTTATGTAGCGATGTTTTATGACTTTTGACACATGTTCAACTTACAAGATAAATGTTTAACTTACAAAACAAGTTTCTTACATGCGTGCCACATGGCAAACTTCTATTATAAGTGGCTAACATGTATGACACAGGGCCAACTTGTTGGTCAAGTTTTCAACTTACCAATCACTTATAAATACATGTAAAGTCAAATCACATCTATAAAACTTCTCCATAAGATATTATCAAATTTATTTACTTCTACTTACTTCTATATTGTCTAGTGATGTAGCATTTGGTGCCAAATCTTGTCAAATGTATACAATTTAGTTTGATTTTTTATCCATTGAGTTTTTTTTGTTAATTGACTTTGTTAGTGTTAACTAAAATTTGAATAATTAGGTGAAGAAAACATTTGACTATACATTCTTTTTAAGTAAAGTGTGCAATGGAGGGAGGGTGATGAGAATAATTAGGCTAAGAAAAACCTTGACTATACATTCTTTTCAAGTAAAGTGTGTGATGGAGGGTGATGAGAATAATTAGGCTAAGAAAAACCTTGACTATACATTCTTTTCAAGTAAAGAGTGTGATGGAGGGTGATGAGAATAATTACGTGAAGAAAAACCCTTGACTATACTATACATTCTTTTCAAGTAAAGTGTGCGATAAGTAAAGTGTGTGATGGAGGGTGGTGAGAATAATTAGGTGAAGAAAAACCCTTGACTATACTATACATTCTTTTCAAGTAAAGTGTGCGATAAGTAAAGTGTGCGATGGAGGGAGGGTGATGAGAGTGTGGGTTCTCCACTCATCTATTCCTCTCTCTGTATGCAGTGGCTTTGAGCAGCGATGATGCTGCTGCTTGTGGTGTCGCACAGGAGGAAGCACCGTCGCCGCACTACTACTGCTTGCTTGTGTTGCCTCCCTTGGCCTCCCGTAGCACAGCCATTGCACTGCGTCGGGCAGTGAATCGAGCTCTGGCGGTGGGACTCGGTTAGGGCGCAAGCATTGTGATGCAAGGGGAGTGCGGTTGAAGTTTCAAGCCCCGGACCCGACGGGACAGGCACTGTGATTCTGTCGCCGTGTGCTGTGCTGTGCGATTGCAGCGATCCATCCCAGAATTGCCCAAGTTTCCAAGCAATTTTCGTCTTCGTCTTGAAAATCTCTACCGGATTTTGGGTGGATTGCGTTCTGGCGTGGTTCAAGTCTCGATAGCGATTCTTGGATGTGCAGAGCTGAAGGGTTTACTGTAGAGGCAAGTTTTGATTGTTCCGGGAGTGTTTTTTATTTTTATTTTTTATAGGTGGGTCTTTTTTGTTCTTCGCCAGCGGAAGCTGGTGGTATTGTGGTAGTGAGGGAACCGTTTTTGAGTAATTTCGCGATGCGGTTGAGGTGATGCTATGAGTAGAATTAGGTCTTGAAGAGGCGATCGCTTGTAAGTTTCATTCGACGGAGTTTAGGCTGTTGGAGGTGTGGTCAAGGGCAAGAGTGTGAGGTTCTATGAAGCACCCATTACTCATGTTTCTCTTTTGCGGCTTCGGCAGCGATATTATGCTAATCCCTCGCTGGTCCCTATCGTTGAAGATTTTGAAGACTGCATGTTTGTTGTTTCTTCAGCTGTAAAGCTTTTTTGTTGCTGTTGTAGGAGTTGGGATGTCTCCTGGTTCAAAATTTGTATCCACGGCATCCGTGTATTTTGTGAGCATGATAATCAGTGGTTGCTGCTTGATTTCAATGATCTCTTGCTTTGACTGGACCATGAGCAACCGATTTTTTGCCTAGCTTGTGGCCGAGGGGCCATGAATACTAATGGAGGGGGATGATTCTTGACGATCATCACATATGAGGGCAGAGTTCTGGGCACCTTATTGAATTTTGAAGAGATGGCCGACGAAGCAGATGCCCTGGCTATGGCTCCAGGAGATGTCCGCGAGAGGACGGAGAAAGCAGTAGAGGCCATGGGATTTCTTGGTCTAGAGCGTGATCTGGTCATCAAAACTCTGAAAAGACTCCACAAGGTAAGATCTTTAAGCAATGGTCCTGTGCATTCTCTTCAAGACCTTTTTTTTTTTTTTTTTTTCTTTTTTTTTTTCCTTTTTAACGAATGCTGGATGTTCATCAGGCATTTGAGTATTCACAGTCAATGTGGGATCATGTTGAGATGGAGAATTATCGAATGCTGGCGGATGAGGCATTAAACCTTCAAACAAAGCTAGTGAGTGTTATGACACATGGAGCCGGCCTTTTTTATACATTCTGCGCATTTGTCTATCTTTGGAGTCTAATGCTTCGTGCTTGAAGTGTTCCTCTTAAGAGCAGCTTATCTCGTTGCTAGCGTCCTTAGCGAGCTATTGTTTTCTAAAGCATTTATTAGTAAAGATTTGTCTGTGGAATTATCTTTGGGGCAGGAGAAAAAGCGAGAACGTGCGACTGCTGATGACGACGCTTCAGAAAGGCCTAGTAGAAATGTTAATCGCGCCCAATCCTCTTTTCCAAGTACTCCCAGAGTAAACAGTTATCCAGAAAGGAGTGCAGCTGCCCTCAAGGCTCTTGCCAGTAACATTATTCAAAAAGAAGAAGAGGCTGGAAGAAAGAAGATGCAAAGTGACAGAAAGGTATCAGCTCAAAAGGATCCCTCTTTGTCACTCTCAGGAAGAGGACCAACCCCTCGAACTGATGGACGAGCAGTTAGAATAATTGATCCTTCTGAAGTTACTGCAGCAAGAAGAAGACCAGACAATAATATCGCACATAAGAAATTTAAGCAACGCAAAGAGGAATTCAAGCCTCAGATCTCTCCTCCGGCGTTGAGAGCCCAGGTTTCTGGTTCACATGACATCAGGAAGAAGAGACAACGCTTGGTGGCACTGCGTGAACTCAACGAACCTGGTGGAGAGGCAGGTGAAGTAGCACATGGTAGTGATCATGACATTGATCGTTATGTGAAAGGCCAATGTAGACATGATGACAAAGACCTATCTCGTGGGTTTGAAGCTATTCCCATCCCCATTGTGAATCATATTAACTCGGAGACTCTCCCTTCCTCCTTCTTCTACATTGATAAGAGCAGACCATATGAAAAAGCTTTCGTAAACCTTGCTATCTCGCGAATAGGAGACGACGATTGCTGTCCAAATTGCCACAATGATTGCCTATCTGCCCCCTATCTCTGCGCTTGTGCCCGGGAGACAGGTGGAGAGTTTGCATATACTTCAGATGGCTGCTTACATCGACGTTACATCGATCAGGTTCAAAGCTCTTCCTATAGAGATGAAATTCTACCCTGATTATTGACGTACCTCGTGTCTCTCCAGAACTTTGGGATAACTTATGATTGGAAGCCTATGATATACTTATCCGCCCGAGGAGTTGAGTGTCTGATCCTCTTACTGCAGATGAAGTCATGCTGTATAGCCTGCATCCTCTTATAAACTTATATATATATATATATATATATATATATATTTTGTCTTGTTTCTTTTTCGTAATCATCGAATGCGAATCGTAGTCGGACTGTAATGTGCTCCTAATGTTCGTAATCCGAACGTTTGATTGGCACTGACTTTACAGCTTAATGAAGCACAGGTACATCTTAATCATTGTTGGATAAAATCAAAACAAGTTAGTAAAAGACAGGGAGAAAGACCACATCATTGTTACCTAAAGATTGACTTTTTATGGTTGCCAAAAATATCTTCCAGGTTATCATCATAGCTTGAACATTCTTGTTGAGGATTTGTGATATTTACTCAAGTGGAGATTTTGGTGTTTGAAACGTGCAGTTTCTGAGGATAAAGAAGGGCTTGTCAGCAGAGAGGAAGCACTATTGTGAATCAGGGTTCCATTGTCCCCACGAGCGGCACAAGAATGAAGAGAACCCGACGAGTTGTAAAGGACATCCTGTGCGAGACTTCTTGAAGGAATGTTCATCCAAGTGTGGATGCAGCAAACAATGTGGCAATCGAGTGGTACAACGTGGTATCAGTCGTAAGCTGGAGGTATTTGAAACCTTTCCTGATTACCTTCGTGTCTTTTTATAAGATCTCTCTCGTTGAAAGGTTGTGACTATTCCATGGAATATACGGGTTTTGTGCGCATGTTTCAATGAATCTTTGTGCTCACAAAGCTTGCCAAGCAGTTCTTGTTATTTCAATGCCTAGAGGTGTTCGGAATTTATATCTTATAGAATTACTGAATGGGTTGCTTTCAGGTGTATATGACGCCTGAAGGCAAGGGGTGGGGCATCAGGACTTTGGAGGATCTTCCGGCCGGTGCGTTTGTTTTTGAATATGTAGGCGAAATCCTCACAAATACTGAGATGTGGGAGCGAAACAATGAGATCATTAGAAATGGTGAGGGACGTCACACTTACCCTGTGGCCTTGGATGGCGACTGGGGTTCTGAAGCCAACCTGAAGGATGAGGAGGCACTTTGCTTGGATGCCACATACTTTGGCAATGTTGCAAGATTTCTTAATCACAGGTAAGTATCGTCGTATTTGGATATTGTTTCTTCTGTTCTTCAAAGAGCTTTTACAACATGGTTGCTGTGATGAAAAGCTGTAAGAGTTGGTTTTGTCTGCATAGCAAGCATTATGCTTGGGTTTGTTACAATTCATGTACTTATCAAGTGTGGCTTGCAGGTGCTTAGATGCAAACCTTATGGAAATGCCAGTCGAGATTGAAAGTCCTGACCGCCATTACTACCATGTGTGCTTTTCATCACTTCATTTTTCTGATGTCTTCTAGGACTTTTCCTTGGACACGCAAACTATGGACTTGTATCTTTTACGAAACTTACAGTGTAGAATTTGGCGAGCTGAAATTGAGGAGATATTATGGTTTTAGAATGTGACATTTTAACTATATGTTAAGTTCTGTGGACTTCCAATGATTATGGCCTATTTGTGTTCAAATTTTGCAGGTGGCATTTTTCACTAATCGTCATGTGAAAGCCAAGGAGGAGCTCACATGGGTAAGTGACTCACCTCATGTAAATAAATTCGTAATCTACATGGTAATGTGCTAGAGATCTGCTTTAGTCCTTTGTAATCATAAACTTGGCTTTACTTAGAATACAATTCTTGATTTTGAAATGAAACAACTATCCTCGAATCTTGAAGAATTTTTTCCAATGGTCTCGATTTAAAACGGAGGCTTGTATTCATTGCAGGACTATGGCATCGATTTTGGAGATGAAGAACATCCAATACCAGCATTTCCTTGTTGCTGTGGCAGTGAGTACTGCAGGGGAAAGATGGCTTGAGACAATTTTTCTTTTTTCTTTTTTTAGTTAGTACTTAAAAGAGTAGAAAATCAACATTTATTATTACATATGAGTAATCTCTACAATTTTGACAGTTATTTTACGAATCGAGGCATCAAAATCCAAGGCTCGGGTGGCAGCATTTCTCACTTAGGCGTTGAACTTAGCCGAAAAACAAGGTTAGCAATTTATGTCAGGATTGGATGGAGAAGTATCTACCTCGAAATTGTAAGCACTATTGCTTGGTATTTTCGTGTATACTGTTCGCGCTCCCATTGTACTACCTATCTGCCACTCTGGTATATCTCTTTTCGTCACTACACATGTACAGAATGAGACCTATGCGCCATGCAAATGAATAGAATCAACAATATCTTACAATTGTAAATACCACCGAAGGATTGTCCACTATTTAGGAATGAAAAGCTGAAATAAGGGGGGTTCAGGAGGGTAAGCAATACAGAGGATCTCAGGATACCAACAGCACACCAAGCCATGAGATATCACTCATCATTGTGAAGTATTCAACATAAGTAGATTCATTATGTATTATATTAGTTGAATCCATGTTGTTGTCACAAAATTTGGAATTTAGGATCAATTCCAAAGATCTTGAATTCAATACCTTGATATGTAATGATTGAGTTTCTTTGCACACTTACACCATCTCAATTAGTACATGCTTTAATTATAGAACAAAATTTTGTTTATATGTACATATGATCGAGAACATTAGATTCATCTCTCTTTTTACTTCACAACTAAGTATATCCTATCATTCTTCTTACAAAAAGTAATTCCTAAGTTTTTTGCTATCTTTCTTATCTTTTATTCAACTTTCCTTCATAGTGTAAAAGGTAGGTGATTCTATTGCATCTTATGTCATATGCTTTAAAAGTGCTTCTTCTTGTTCTTACTCTTTTTTTAATCTATTCTATTTTCATTTCAATATGAATATTACTAATTTGGTTGGAGAGTTGTGGTGAATTAAGAAGTTGATTTAACTTGATTATAAAGTTGAGTGATTATTTACCTTGGCATTAGCAAACCTTGATACCTCCATAATCCTAGATCATAATTAATGCCAAGGACAAAAATTTGATAAATGCAAATAAATAAATAAATAAATAAAATATTTTTCAAAAAAAGATAATACTAGAAAAATAAATAAATATATATATTCAAGAAGAAACTACAATGGCTATTACTAAAAAATAAAAAAATTAGGGATCCTTGAAACTAAAGAAGAAACAAGAAAGGAGTTGACAAGAGCAAGGAAGACATTACTCTTGCTTCTATATATATTATCTAATTAAAAGCTATGTGGCAACATTCTATAGGATCTCCAACATGTGTCCAACTTGTAAGACACTTGTTTAACTTACAAGATAAGTTTTTTATGTGTGTGCTATATATTCAACTTGTACTATAAGTTATCAATACCTACAATACAAGGCCAATTTGTTGGCCAAGTTTTCAATCTACCAATTATTTGTAAATATGTATAAAAGTAAAGTTGCATCTATAAAGCCTCTAAGAAGCTTTTCTATAAGATATTATTAATTTTTTCTATTTTTATCTACTTCTAATTATTCATATTATCTAGATAATTATTTTAATAAATATAGATGTTTATAATATTATCTCCCTTTCTAAAAATAAGTTCTACAAGGAGCAATGATTATATGTTGAAAAAGTTGAAGACACAACAAACTATATTTGCTACAGATTTTGATCTTTATTCTCTTTGAAGGTACTTGATAGGTCATCTTAACCATCAATAGTGTCTCAAAGTAAGACAAAAAGACCACCTTGATATTTGATCATTATTTAGGCATTCATAACTTCTTTCAAACAAAGTATTTGTAATATTATTATGAGTCATTTCTACTAATTATATCACCAAACATCAAAAGTCATTATTAATATTGTAATACCAAATGCATTATATGATTTCCATCTATTTAAAGAAAAACATATTGTTTTTGAAGATCTTCATCTTTATTACATCATCTGGAAGGTTGTGACAATTGAAATGTCTCGTTTGATAATTCAACAAGTAATAACTTTTTAATTAAATTTTCTAAGTATTGATTCTTCATTTTTTTCTATGCTACAAATACAAAGAAATCACAATCAAGGATAAAAGATGAGATACAATTGAATATCTTTTCTTTTAAAAAAAAATGATTGCTTGACTTTTTATCTTAATTTTGATGGATGTTATTAATAAAAGGCTTTGATCTTCTTTCCTACATTTGCAAGATTTTTGAATGGCTTTTACATGTCTTTACTATTATCATATTTACACAAATAAACAAGTTATTCCAATCTTAGTTGGTGCCCCCTTGAATCTAAGACTTTTTCTACATTAAACTCTTGATTATTATCCACTTTTATAAAAAGGAGTGGCATTTGTCTTTTTTTTGGAATATCCATTGTCTTATATGGCTCAAGAAGAGACACATAAAATATATAATGGATCTTTATGAACTTAGATAGATATAATAGATAAGCAATCAAATTTATTTATTTATAAATAAAAAATAGTTCAAGTCTATAATAATCTAATTTGTAATAAGAGCAACTAGTTTTGATACTATAACAAAGAAATCATATCTTATCGCCAATATAGTATTAAGGTTGTTCTTTGTAATAAGCATCTGAAATGAATTTTTTTTTTTTGAGTCTCTTTTAATTGTACTTTAATTGTAACATGTAGCTCTAATAAAAAGAATTCAAAATTTCTATTATAAGATTATTAATTTTAAAAAAATATTTAATTATAGATAATAACCATAATTAGAAAAAAAATTATTTTTTGAGTAGAAGAATGTATTGTATTATCATAAAAGAACTCTACTAATGACAAAAGAATTGCTTAATCATCTTAATAGTAGTTGATGCTATACTACAAATATTGCTACAAAACTTGATTCACCTATTCTGTTTGTCCATGAATTTGAAGATTATAAATTGAAGACAATTTTATATCTACTTTCAATATTTTAAAATAAATTTTCAAAATCTTGATAAAAATTGGATTCATCTATCAAATATGAATCTCTTAGCAATTCATAATAGCAATATATATTGTTAAAGAAAAGTTTAGTTACTTCTTTACTTGTGATAAATTTTGTATATGATATAAAATATGCCATCATAGTGAAACAATCTATTATTACAAATTTAGAGTCATATGAATTTTAAATTAAAATATTTGTAATGAAATCCATAGAAATAAAAAATCATGTTTTTTTTTGGTATAGATAGTGATTTTAGAAGTCTTTAAAGTCAATGGCAAGGAATTTTTGATCTTAAACAAATGTTAGATGATTATACAAAGTCTTTAACTACCTTCTACATTTGAAGCCACTAAAAATCTCTTGAGATCAATTCCAATGTCTTATAGTATCTAAAATATCTTACAACTAGAAAATCATAACAATCTTAAAGAGAATGTAATTATGCTTTACTTTGTAGAATTTATAAGCATTCTTTAAAATACAATATATTTTTCTTGAATTCAAACTTAGAGATATCATAAGAATTAAAAAATTATTTTTCATATCACAAATAAAAAGATTAAAAGACATACTTAGCTGAACTTACTTGAGTAAAGTTGAATCAATAATTAGTGTTTATTTCATTTCTCAAAGATAAAATTATTCTTGCTTTAAAAAAAAAATCTTTGTTGATTAAAAGCTACACCTTTTTCTTTAAGCACAAGATAAAAACATTTAAAAAGAACATCTTACAAACCTTATTATTTTTTCTATTTGATATGTGATTTTAAATTTGAATCTTCATAAAGATATATTTCAATGAGTTTGGCGACAATTCAAAATACGTGTTCATATGAAATATCCAAAAAATTTGTGATTCATATAAATAGTTATTGTATTAAATGAGCCTTCTTAATAATAATATTATTCTTGAAATGAATCCATAATTGTAAAAAAATTCTTTATTGTGGATGGTATAGTTATGCTTTGCTACTCAAAATTTTCTTGAATGGAAAGCAACAAGGTGAAGTTTGTCATATATTTCCATTTGTAATGATATTGCATCCAAAGCAAACTCCAATGTATCAATTTCCATAAAAACTACCTTAGAAAAGTTGATGCAATATAAGATTGATGCAAAAATAAAAGTTGTCTTTAAAATTTTAAATAATGCTTCAATTTCTTTATTCTATTCAAATTTGTCTTTAGAAGTCACACATATAAGTAGAATTACAACTTGAATAAAATTTTTCATGTAGATTCAATAATAATTGATAAATTTCAGAAAAATTGGATATTTCTTATTATTTTGGAACCTTGTAATCTATTATAACAAATTCCTTCTAAAGATCTATCATAAAGCCATCATTTAAAATGGTGTATCCTAAAAAATCAACTTGAGTAGTCTAAAATATATACTTTTCTATCCTGGTATAGAATCTTATATCTCTAAGTTTTTGTAATACACAACAAAAATAAAGTTTATTTTCTTTTATATTCTTAGAATAGATTAGAATATTATCTAAATAAAAAAAAAAAAACAACAACAAAATCATTCTAAAACTTTTGAAAGACAACATTCTTTAAATGTTGAAATGCAACTAGTTCATTTTTTATTCCAAAAGGCATGACATTATATTTAAAATATCCATATCTTGTTTAAAATAAAATCTTTTATTTATGTCTTTTTAAAATTTATATTAAATTATATACTCTTTATAAATCTATTTTTATATAGATTTTGATTTGATTCAATTAATGAAGAAGTCTAGATATAAAAGATAGAATATATCTATTCTTAATGATTATTTTATTAAGCCTTCAATAATTTATATACATCTATAATAATCTATATTTTTTTTCTTCACAAATAAGATAAGATTCTCTATTAGAAATTTTGAATAGCATATGAAATTTTTGGCTAAATTTTCATCAACGTATTCTTTGAATTCAATCAATTTTTTTGTAATAAATTATAAATTAGTTCAAATGGTGGTATCATGTACATACATATTTATTCTAATATTTATCTATATGATTAAATAAAAATAGATAAAAATAGATTTATTTCATAATATATTTTAGAGAAGCTTTTAAGAAGCTTTTAAGAAGCTTCATAATTGATGTTTTGACTTTACATGTATTTGTAGTTGATTGGTAGGCTAAAAACTTCGTTAACAAGTTAATCATGTATTAGAAGCTTATGGAGCAAGTTAATTATGTGGCGCACATATAAAAAACTTGTCTTATAATTTATGATACATGTCTTATAAAATCAACAAACTTTGGAGGTCCTATAGGACATTGCCACACAGCTCATAGTTAAGAATATATATAGAGGCAAGAATAAAGCCTTCTTCACTTGTGGCAATGCCTATCTAGTATTTAGTCTTGTTTCAAGACTTTCTAGTTTTCTTATCTTTGGCAATAGCTATTCTAGTTTAATATTATATCATCTTTGAGAAACTTTTTAGTTGTTTTGAATGATACAAGAGTATATGAAGGATTTCTTTCTTTGAGCTTCATATCCTTGACAAGTGGTTAAATTTGTTCTTAATAATTCACTCAACTATTATAGGAATAATATTCTAAAAGAGTGTCTGTATTTTTTTTTTCAAAAAAATCTTAATAATCTTGATACTAACTTAAAATGCTAATAGAAGTCTTTCTACCATTAGAAATAGATGTGGCCTAAATAATACAAGGTGATCTTTTTTTTGCAACATATAAGAAAGATCTCATAGCCACAAATAAAGATTTGGTTGCACTAGACTTATGACTTTCTACTTAATTTTCAAAACTCTTAGTTATATTCTAAAAATAATTAATATTATAAGAAATCTAATCTATTTAAAGATTATATTTTTTTAGCTATGTTAAATCTAATATGATTAGATTAAAAAGAAATTTAATAATATTAAATATCACAAAGCTATTATGGCTATTAATTTCTACTTCTATGAGAAGGATTTCATAGATAATATCTCTAAGAAACAACAAACAACTATCTATGACTCCTATATGTATCATTTTACTTTTCTTTAATAAAAATATGTCATACCTTTTAACAAATTCTTCAATTATAAAACAAGCTAAGACTCTTGAATCTAGCAAGGCAAAGGTTTTGTGATATTTAGATCCTAATCTAATATCTATTGAAAAACAAAGAGAAGATTTTAAAGAGAAAATATGACCTTTATTAGATGTTGTACAAGATTTCAATCACACAGTCTTTATTGTAGCTAGACAAACTTATTTGTGTAACTCTCATATCAAAATTCAAATGGCCAATTGTCTCACTTTATAACAAAGTCAATTGCTTCACTCAATGTTTAAAAATCAAATAAGTTTAACATCAATTTCTTCACCTTATATTATAATTTATAAAAAAATTGATTGATGACTGCAATATTATTCTATTTAATATTAATTACAAGTTGTCAAGATTGCAAAGCATATAATGTTATTGATTAATTCTCTTATCACTAAATATTGATGTTATTGGTTGTAATACAAATTGCATCATGTTTTATATATATTGATTAAAATTTGACCAAAAAAACCTCAAATTATTCAATGTTAATTCACATCATTCAAAAAAAGTTAAAAATTAAGATTAAAAAAAAAAAAAAAAAAAAAAAAAAAAACTTTTAAGTAATATTTTAATAAACTTGACATATGATCTTATAATTATATAACTTTTGAATTGAAGTTCAATCAAAAATTATACTTGATTGATGAATCTTCAAAATTTTGATCTTATGCCATCAAATTTCTTGAATAAGGCAACTTTGGATTTTCTAATACTTGAAGGATGTTCTATTATAGGAAAAGTAACATAATTTGGTATAGATATTGAAGCAACTCCAATCATCTCTAAATCTTCACTTTCTACCAACTTTATTGTTCTTTTTAGTAGTAAATTAAGTTCATGCATTGCAAATATAAACTCCTTCAATTGATCTTGAATTTGTGCCATTGCACTCTTCATTCAATAATCTTTGCCATTATAACATAATAAAAAAGATATTTAATATTTTTCAAGATAATTAAAAAAGATGATTTAAAATTTAAGAAATTTTAAAAATAATATCAATTTAAAATTGAATGATCTACAACTTCTAATATTATTTATTTTTATCAAAAAAAAAATCTATTCTTCATCAAGAAAGACAAAGCTCTAATATTGTAAATACACTCTTATCAATTTATCAAGAATAAAAACTTGATAAATATAAATAAAAAAGTCACACGTTTCTCAAAGAAAGATATCAAAAAAAAAAAAAAAAAAATATGTATATTCAAGAAGAAACTAGAATGGCTCTTATCAAAAGATAAAAAAATTAGAAATCCTTAAAATTAGACTAGAAGCAAGAAAGAAATTGACAAAAGTGAAGAAGGCATTACTCTTTTCTTCATATATATTTTATGTAACTAGAAGCTATATGGCAATGTTCTGTAGGACCTTCAATACATGTCCAACTTGTAGTACACGTGTCTAACTTGCAAGACAAGTTTCCTATATGTATGCCAAATGTCTGAATTGTATTATAAGTCACCAACATGTGCAATACATGGCCAACTTATTGGCCAAGTTTTCAACCTATCAATCACTTATAGATATATATATAAAGACAAAGCCACATCTATCAAGCTTTTAAGAAGTTTTTTTATAAGATATTATTAAATTTATCTATTTTTATCTACTTCTATTTATTCATACTATCTAGGTAATTATAGCAGTAAATTTGGATGTCCTTGATACTTGATATAATACTTGAATAACTTCACAAAAATTTATCTTAACAATTTGAAAATCAAGCAATATTCCTTTTCAACATTTAGCAAGTAATAGAAGGCATGGAGGAATAAGAAATGGTCCAAATTTAGTACTAATTATTGAGGAAGAAGTAGATTGTTGCTTCATGAATATTCACACAACTTTTTTTGCAATTAACAACCCCTTGGAGCCCATATTTTGCTAGCCATAAAAAATCTTGATCGAAATTCATTGAAAGATTTAAACAAAAGCTTCTATAACAACAAATTATAATGAGCATCTATAATGAACCATTGTGAGAGCAACTCACCAAATAATCAAGCAAAGCAATCTTATATTGATTTATCAATCATTTACATAATGTAGTCATGGCATAATTCACCATAATATTCAAATTATTGAGCAATATCACTTATCCCAATACATTATTTGGTCAAATTATCCCCATCTACTACTTATTCATCCATGCAACAATCTACACTACATCACCATCCATCACAAATATTTACTCACATTTCATAGATGGCAAGCTTAGTACAAAGAGTCTCAAATTTACATAATAAAGATTGTTGAAAGTATCTTATTGGTCATGGTCTCAATAATCACAATCACAATCAAGAATTGAACAATGCAAATTTTGACTTCAATTGGCAACAAGCCATGCTTCTAAGATATGTTATGTCTATAATATTATTACATTCTTTCAAATGACAAAGAATTTCTCTTCAATCTTAGACATTGTTGTTCATAGTAATTATTAGCTATTCATAATGGAGTGGTTGGTTCTTATGGGAGCAAAGATCCTAGAGAATGTTCATGATCTATGCTTAAGTGACAAAACAAAAAAAGAAATTGCACTGATGGAAGCATGATGTAACCTCATTATAAATACCCATTACATAAGATTGTACTTTTAGCTTGTATTTCTTAATATCATGCATTTGTGCATAATCTTTTGATACAATCAATGCACTAATAAGGCATGAGTAAAAAAAGTTAAAAAGGTTGTTCAAGGTTGCTAGAAAACTTTTGATGAAAACAATGATGATTGAGTCAAAAACCAATGTGATATTATTTTTTTTGAGGTAGAAGTGAATTATATATATTGTTAAAGCCCTATGAATTGTTGCATATCTTAGCTTTTACTTCACTTTTGATGAAAACAATGAGAGATGCAACCAATCAGAGATCAAATTTGTCTCCTTTGGTTCATCTTGTTAATCCATCCCCCTGATGTGTGTTATATAAGAAATACATAACATTCATGAACTACACTAAGGATTACATATCTCTTGCACCAAGTCAAGGGAGTTGTAATGGCTCTCTCACATCAAGTCAGGAGAGTAATAATGGCTCTCTTGCATCAAGTCAGGGAAGTCATAATGGCAACCTTACTACTAAATTCTGTGTACTCATTTGACTTACAGCATGGATGAGGACCAAAGCACAAAGACAAGCCTCTTATTTTTAACATGTTGAAAGACTAGAAATGCTCACAAATGCTTGCCACAAGTCAACCAACACCTAGACACATTCTAGATGCAATGATCAGTCGATTATGGTTGCAGCATGGGAAGAGATTTGAATGTGTCACAGAAATAGTTTGATTTCTGATGATGCTGAAGAGCGTATCAACGATTTGGTTAGTTTATCATGCAAAAGATCATTTGACTACAAGTGAACATGAAGAATCTGTATGTAACTTTTACTTCAGCCGCTTGTACACAATAAAATCGTATGAGCTAGAGACAAGTGTATTAACATCCAAATCAACCTAAAATTAGGTGTTCATAATTCGTTGAAATTCTATCATCAGATTCTGTAACGAACGGCATGTCTCAGATTTCAAAATCGTGAATCCAGGCAATGGTCAAGATTCGGACCCAGGAGTTTCTTTATGGTAATTAAAAGAACTGTAGGTTAGTCCAATCAATTTTAGAATAGTCATAAAATGGCCATTTTTATGTTCGTCAGTGTTGTTTGAATGCCATTCAAGGTCCACAAAAATCATTTCCTGACTGCATCAGTAAACAAAAATGGAAATTACAATTCATCAAAGTATGGATCACTGCATAGAATACTAAATTCGGGCTCCAGCAGCCGTGGTCTAGCAAAACTATCTTGAGCAACCAACCTATTCTAAGCTACTCCACAAACAGTCCTAGCACCGACCTGCTGACATATTTAAATCCTTGATTGCACGCACCGTAGCTCTTTGACGCAGAGTATATTATCTTTTGATCTGCGTCTCGATCACTTCTCGCTACAATCTCTAGTCCTGCTCCACGCAAATATTGACCGATTAACTTGAGTAACTCGCTCATTATCTCCCTAATATGGTCTGTAGCGAGGTTCTGACCTAGAAGAGCGATGGCCGCCAGAAAGTCCTGAGTCCAAACCTGATGGTAATCCACCTACACCACCATAACCACCCCACTGACGACAACCCGATACTGTCAATATAGACACACAATTGTAAGAAATTAAAATAAAATAAAATCGTAGAACACTCTAATAAAAGAAACATACATAAATATACATGCAAACAATGAACTTACCCCCGAATTGAAATCGAGGCTGCCAGGTAAGGAACCGTATCCGCTTCCTTGCAATGGCGCATTGCTTCCTCTCATAGGGCCTCCAGCTCCTCCAGAAAGTGATCCCACGCCACCAACACCGCTCATGTAGGGGACATTTGCCGTTTCATCCTGGGGTGCTGCACGGTCCACAGCAATCTACCAAAACAATAGTGCAACTTCAGATCAGACCACCTTTGATACATTTAGAAATCAACAGTACCTTAACGTAGAACCGAAGAGCGATTACACAATGCACAAGATCTCCACAAAACTTTCAGGGTCAATCCCGTAAAAAAGATGAGGATCCTGACCTGATGGCCAAGAATTTCGTGATTTCGTAGAGCAACTCGTTCTGCAGCACCTTCGTCAGAGAAAGTGACAAAGCCAAATCCTCTATGTGATGTTTTCTTCGCATCCTACAAAAAAAAAACAATGTTGGTGTTAAGATAGTTTCGTTGTTAAGAATCGCCATAAAGACCTAAGAAAAAATCTCCTCCAATAGTACCTTAGGCACATAAACATCAGAGATTCGTCCGAAATTGTTGAAGTAGCGCCTCAAATCCTCTGCATTTGCTTCTGGAGGCAATCTGCCAACGAAGATTTTAGTACCTAGGCCTCTCAAAGGCGGGATCGGCGGACCTCCGGAACCATAACTCCCTGATCCTCCCCCTGGAATTCCCAAACCTGGGCCACCATAACCAGCACCTGGGGGCGCAGAGGGCCAGGAATTGCCACCTCCATAAGCACTGCCCAGTCCACCAGAAGGACCTAGATCACTTCCGAAACCAGAGCCTGAATAGTCGTAAGCTCCAAATCCGCCCCCCAAGCCACCAAACCGAGCAGCGTTTGTGTACACACCGTAAGCTCCATAAGCACCTGATCCAGCATTGGAGGCAGAATTTTGGTTGCCTCCGTGAAATCCACGTCCCCAGGTCTTCACACCGTCCTCCTGATTGCTCATTACTAACACATTTTCAGAAGGGAGCAAAAAACAAGAAGCCACTGAGCATTTTCCAACGGCTTTAAGAAGAAAGTTTTTAACTTATTCAAGGAGATGAAACAACCTTACCTTCGGTGTAGCCCGATCGACAGCAATAGTCGACCCACCAAGCTCGTGGGTTTCATTCATGAGATTGTCAACTGATTCTGTGGAAAACAACAAATGAGTAAGCAAGATAAAACGTAGTCATATTTCCATCCTTAAAAGCATGCACAGTATAATGATACTTAGGAAATGACATGGGCAATCTACTAGAATCGTTGATTCTACTGGTCCCATCAACGTTTACCATATCAAACGTAGACTTCATAGAAGATACCCTTTCATTATTCCGAACTTCTAATGTGAGCAACTGAAGCTCCTCGAATACCGAGACACAAAATCATTGAAGAACAAAAAACCGCAGGTTTCAAGGTAAGTACTGAGAGTCATGGTTTACCTGGATTCTCAAACGTAACAAAGCCAATGCCTCTATGTGCCTTGGAACCTTGATCCTAAATAACCACAGGAAGCAAGTAATCAGCGACAAACAGCAGCTGAGGGGTAAGACTTCCGAAGTGTGGATTTGAAAAACCATAACAATAAAAGCAAAGCCAAAACAACATGAGAATATAATAGAAAAAAAAAAAAAAAAAAGATACAAAACACGGCCCCAGAGGTATCAATATGGGGAGTACCTTTGGCATGTAAGCATCAGTCAGGGTTCCATACTTCTCAAAGTAACTGCACAAACATCCTCGAAACAACTACAAATTATCATACCACTAAAAGAGAAATAAAAGGAAAAAATCTAATATAGGAGCAAATCTCATACCATCGCTCGCTGAGAGAAAGAGGAAAACAAATTAAGCCCCCATTTTAAAAAAAAAAAAAAAAAAAAAAAAAAAAAAAAAAAAAAATCGTACGAAAACCAGAGCAAAACAGACTTCCTTCTTCTAAATTTAAATATATATATTATGTGAGCGATATAACATGTATAATTAAGTACCTTCGAAAGGCTTCATCGGTGACACTAGGAGGGATTCTGGCTACGAAAACCCTTGTGATCTTCTTCGCGGGAGGTTTCATCTCCTCCTAGAACGTAAATATAAGAAAATTAATCATCATGATAGGAAATCAACTTCTTAAGCGTTCACACAAAGGCTTGAGATTTTAAAAACTGGAACCAGAAGCCAAATTTTATATGAACTTATATATATATATATATATATATATAGAGAGAGAGAGAGAGAGAGAGAGAGAGAGAGAGATATCGACCTCTGGGACAGTCCAATCAATACGTGAAAAGACATCTTCAAACCTTGTCAAATTTAGCAAATTTACCTTAGGGGTTGCAACTTTCACTTCCAACATTCTTCCATTTAGAGAGTGTTGCGTGGAAACTGCTTTCTGCGCAGTTCAGAATATGACTTAAGTAAATTCTCGTGGAAGTAAGAAATACACAAAATATGTGGTTGCTTTCTAAAGATAAAAAGCATACCTTTGCATCCTCGACAGCTGCAAACGTCACGTAACCAAATCCTCGGGATCGTCCTGTGCCGCGATCCTGAAGAAATTTGCACACAAAACAGAAACTTTCAATCCAACCTAGTGATTGATGCCAAAGAGTCCAGTCCACAATGGAGATAAATACCCGCGTCAAATTACAAGAAAGCTCAGCGTTCATAGAAACGAATGGCAAAAGTCCTTGAAAGCCTCTGCTTGCCACTGACCTTCATGACAATGACGTCATCAAGCTCACCAAACTTCAGCATGTACTGCCTTAAACCTTCCGTATCAATATCCCACGGGATGCCCAGGACCTGAGGGAAGCCATATATTGATCACATCCTAATTCATGAACATTTAGATCACTAAAAGTACCATGGGAATTGCTTCTAAGCATGATGCAAAACTTCACATTTACTGCAGTTTCTTATTTAACAACCGTACGCAAAACACCCAACAGAACCACAGAAAAAACAATAATCACGAGCATCTACACGAGTGTTACAATTGCACAAAACTTGTCTATGAAAGAGACGGACAGGTCTTTATTGCAAAGACTTGAAACACAAGAGAAGATAAGCACAAAAAATGATGCATCATGTCTGCACCAGAAGTGAAAAAAGATAGCTCACTGACCACGAGTTTCCGAGATCCAAGGTTCATGCCATGCTCGCCAGAATTTTGCGCCATGTTGATGGAAAGAAGATGAGTGCTCTATCACTCACAGCTTGAAGACAATATCTGGGTGCCTGCAAAGCACTGTCCTGCCACTCTTCACTCCTCTCCCCTCTCACTCCTCTTCCTCTCTCTCACAGAGCTCCTTTTTCTCACACTCTCGCTCTCCTCATTCCTGCACAAACACATACTACATTCATACTCTGCAATACCTGGCCACCCTCCCACAAGCACAATCACATCGGAACATGACCTGAATAATAATTCCAACACGCACAACCGAAGTACAGAGCACCGTGTGCTTAAGCCCGCTACGAAATCGGATTTCCCATAACAAGGCGGACGCCACAAAAAAGGATCGAGCTCCAACGTGGTTATCCTGCCCATCCACAGTGCTTGTACATATGCATAATGCGGAGGATAGCAGAGCATCGCTCTTTTAGCGCACACGACAACTATGATTAAACACGTCCTAATCATGGAAATTATTAAAGCGCACACAGGAATTATATTACAAAAACAGACAGCTCTCCCTAAAAGAACCTCCCTCATCAGCGACATCCTTACCACTCTCATAGATGACTTGCACACAAGAAGATTAACAGAGTCAGTTAAACAGCATCAGGTAAAACTATAGTAACAACGACGAAGATCTCTCTCGCGGTTTACTCTCCGGCTCTTCCTCCTTCTCATGAACGAAGAAAACCGCAGCAGCTTCCCTTCTAGTTCAAGAACTCCACTTTCCTCCTCTTTCTCGATTTATAACCCCCTTTGCCAACGACAAACCTCGTGGATAAGCGACTCCAGGACTCTCCTATTCCTCACTGCTGTTCCGCCCTCATCAAACACGGTTAAAATCCCACGCTCTCAACTCTGCTCAATGCTGAGATACACCACCAAATTGTCCCAAATCCCCCCACCTTGGCATAGTCACAACCCTAGCATGCCACTGAAAAATCTTTCCTCCTCGAGTCCTCACGAGATCTCCGAGTCTTAGCCTCTACAACACTCCTCTCCCACAATCGTCCTCAAATAGCGCAAACGATCAGCCACAACAGCTACGCAATCTCTCCGAACCACGATGTAACGTGGCACCTCCCTGTGCACCAATGGTGAAACCCTACCTACACATCCAATCCCTCACCGCTAGATCGACAGTCTGCAACAAACAATATCATTGCTGTGCAGATAAAACACGCTCCTGGTCGCCTCGGTGATCAATGCGTGGAGGGGGTGGGGGAGGGGGGGGGGGTATTGAACGATATTGCAACAATCCAAGGGGAAGCTCCTCTAGACTTCTCTTCTCTTCTCTCCTCTCCTTGCCTCCCCGTTCAAGTCCAAAAGAGCTAAGTTTCAAAAGCTCCAACACACCACACCAACACTACGTGAGACCTCCATGCCCTAACCGTGCTTTCCTCATCATTTGCTGCCGACCCAGGCGCCACCTCGCCCTATTTTCCACGTGGGAATCTCCCATTGGATACACCTCTCGTGCCTTATGAATGCCACGTCCGTTCGCCACTTTCGTTCGTCAGTTTGTTCGTCTGTTCGTTCGTTCGCTCGTTCGCTCGTTCGTTCGCTCGCTCGTTCGTTCGCTCGTTCGTTCGCTCGTTCGTTCGTTCGTTCGTTCGTTCGCTAACACACTGGCGCGATTGTTGTGATTTCTCGGTGACTGACTTCCGTCGAATTGACCAACATGGTTTTCCAGACCCTCGCAGTTCGTGGGACGGAGTGACAAACAGGGCATTTCCGCCAATTCAAATACTTCAAGTTTTCCACGTTTTAATTGATCCATGATATGTAACAGACTTTGCAGAATTGTTCCCAAATTGGACCTGTGGATGGATGTTTCCCAATAGATTATCATCCTTGACATGTCTGGTATGGGTAATAATCCCTTCTTTCTATTAATAAAAATAATGCTTAGAATTAATAAATATTAAATTAAATATGAACCAAATTTTTAATTTCTTTTTTGATGATACCATTGAGTACATATATATATATATATATATATATGTGTGTGTGTGAATCTATGAAATTATATCATAAACTATAAAACACTCAATTATAAAATTTATGTTGTCTTAAATACTATCATTACCATTTTTATTTAAATCATAAATTGCATACCAATATTAAAAGTTTAATAAAGTATTTAAAAAAAAATTAATTGCAATATGCAGTTTAACATACCAAATAAAATTTGCAACAAATAACCAACAAATAAAATTTTAAAATATTTTAAAAATTAAATTGAAAAGATAAATTTTATTAATGCTAACAATCAACTGATCATATAAAAATAATAAAAAATAAATAAATCTTATTATTATATTTTTTAACTTTATTTTTTTATATAAAAAATTATATATATGTATATATATAAATGTTTATTTTACAAATTAATACTTTATCTCTTTTAAATTTTATGTTGAAAAAATATATATTCAAAATATAAATGAATAAAGTTTTAATTAATTAACACATCTATTATATAAAAACAACTTAGATTTAAGACAAAGAAGCCTTCTCTTTGGTTGAACATAGGAACAAAGGAATATGAATAAATAAAGGAATGAATAGATGACATTATTGAACTGCACTAATTTTTTGCTAGTCTATAAATAAAAGCCAAATTTATGTGATCTATGTGTTACAAATATATTATATAAGAGATCAAACAAGAAGTTGAACAAAAGAATTTCAACAAGAAAGCTAACAAGAACTTAATTAAACTAGATGAGTAGAAGATCAATACTAAGAGAAGTGAGTTAAAGCTCCAAGAGATATATTGTCAAGATTGAGGATTATTTCAACCTCAACTCTAATATATACAAGATATTAAGAAGCTTCTTAAGAAGTTTTTATATTGCTTAAAAATAAAGTATATAAATAAAAGTAGAAGCTTCTTAAAAAACTTCTTTAATTCTTGTAGAATTTTCTAAAACTTACTAAAATATTCTAAAAACCTTTTAGAATTTTATTAGAATCTTTTTAGAATCTTTTAAATATTTTTTATTAGAATATTTTAAGAATATTTTAAAAAAATTTAAAATCTAATAGAATATTTATAAAATCTTTTTATTAGATGTCAATAACATCACCTCTCCTTTTAACTCCAAGTTTGACAAAGAGGATTGGTTTTATATCTCCAATAGAATGATCAAGCTCGAACATCATCTTCAAAAAAAAATTATTTGAGTTGACTATTGCATGGATATTTTCTCTCTCCAGAAGATCCAACTTTATCTTGAGGATGATCTTGAAAAGATTGTGAGAGCTAGGATAGTTGATTTGGTAGCAATGATAAGGAAAGCTCCAACTCTAGTTTTACTTTGAAATTCATGATCTAAAAACTCTCTAAATACTTTCCAATTGAACATATTGGACCATAAATTCAATACATTAAATTCTAAGGTTTTTATGAGCAATACTTCTTTTCTTTGTTATATAAAATATCCTAATTGTAGCTTTATAGAAATGCCAACTTAAAATAGATATAGAATTTTAAAGATAGCATCGATGAAACTCATGTACCTTTTAGAGTATATTAATTAGTTTTTCTGTTGGTTTCTATTTACACTCATTAATATCATAGTGGCGTCAATAAATAAAATATTTCAATTTTCTTCTTTTCATCCAAGAATCAAAGATCTTTTCTATTTCATACTCTACATGATTATCTATTTTAATGCAAGGCAATGTTGGTTGTATACTTCTTGGAATAGTTGATTCTAAATAAGCTTTTAAGAGAGAAACATGAAAGATTGGTTGTACCTTCATAAATATGGGTGGTTTCAACCAATAAGCCATTAGATTAATTTTTTTTGAATAAAAAATGGTGCCAATCTTATTTTATTTTCAACTTAAAAAGAAGAGAATTTTTTTCTAAATTTGTTTGAAGATGCTTTGTAAAAATCTTAAGTTGCTTATTAATAGAGCTTCAAAGTTATTTGAAATTGTAACAATTGTTTCGTAAGATCTTTAGTTACTAGATCTTCATGCTTTGATATACCTAACAAATCAAGCTTGAGATGATAACCATAATTGGCATAAAATGGTGTTTGTTGAATTAAATCATGAACAATATTATTATAAGAAAACTCCATTAAAAATAAATACAAGGTCTAATTATCTTATAGATACTTTATGATACATTGCAAATGCTGCTCTAAAACATAATTAACTTATTTTGTTTGACCATCAATTTAAAGATGAAAGGTAGATGAAAGTTTGGTATCCACTTTCTATATTTCAAAAAAGAATTTCCAAAATTTTAATATAAATTGAGATCCTCAATCAAAAATAATATCATCAAGTAAGCCATGATATTGATACATATTATCAAGAAAGAGCCTTATCATTTCTTATTTAGAAATTATCTTTTTACAAGGAATAAAATATATTATCTTTGAAAGTTGATCTATAATAATATAGATAGCATCAAATATAGATCATGGCAGTAGATCAGTGATGAAATCTATTGATATTAAAGACCATAGTTGCTTCAAAATTGGCAGTGGTTGTAGAAGTCCATAAGAATGATGTTAAAAATGCTTGGATCTTGAACATATTTTTTATGAGAAGATAAATTCCTTCATGGTCTTTAATATTTGAGACCACCAAAAATCTTAAGAAATAAGCTCTAATATTTTGTTAAATCCAAAATGTCTTGCAATTGAAAAATTATGACCAAATTGAAGAATACAAAGTTGCATTGGTCTTTCTTGAATATATAAACAATCTTCAAAATATAAAAGATATTCTACAAAATTGATTTTTTTATAAATAAGGCATTACTTGATATTACGAATTAATGGTTCTTTAACTAATGCTGCACAAATTTATTTAAGAAAGCTTGAATTAATAGATGTAATTATAGAATTAGCACAAAAAAAAATTATTTTAGATTCAAAAAAGTATTATATTACTAATCAATTTTTTTTTCTAGCCTTTTGAGCAAGATATGATTTCTTTAATAAAACATCTGATAGTCCTTGCTGCTTTTTTGATCAATATATAATCACCTAATTAAAATGAGATAATGATATATTTCAACGAATTTGGTGGTAATTTAAAACTTGAGCTAATATGAAATATTCCAAATTTTTATGATTTGTATATATATTCACAGGATATATAGCATCTTCTAGCAATTGACATCATTCTCTAAAAAAATCCATAATCACTAGAAGTTCTTTATTATAAATTTTATAATTGATGTTTGTAATTAAAAACTTTCAAGAATAGAATGCAACTAGATGGAGCTTTCTATCATTTTTTATTAGTGATAATATAGCTTTTAATGTAAAGTCAAAAGCACCAGTCTCCAAAATAATGATGAAAATACGTATTTACAAAGCTCCATCTTTTTTTTTTGTAAAAAGTATTGGTGCACTTGTTAGAGATTTAGAATGCCAAATAAAGTTCTTTCTAAGATTTTTATTAATATAATCTTAAATAAGAAAAATTTATTCTATAATAGATTATAAATTGGGCCAAATAATGGTTGAATCCTTTGTTAAAGATTGATGGTATAATCATATGGTTGATGCTTTAGCAATATATCAACATTCTTCTTTTTGAAGATATCTTGAAATTCCTTATACTATTTTGAAATACCTACTAATAAGTTGACTTCTTTATGAACTAGAGTTGTATAAATAACAAATATCATTTCTTTCTTAGCCATCTTTATAAACTATTCTACTCTAAAAAACAATGGCTTTGTTGTTAATGACTTTTAGATAGGTTTTATCCAAAAAAATTCTATAGAAAATTCAACTTTATGAAACCTCCAATCTATAGATAGATTATATCTTTTCAACCACAAAATTTCTAAAAAGATAAGATTGGATACGATTTTAATAATATTAAATACTACTTTGCTACTATATATCAAGGATATGAATCTTAAAGAAAGAAATTACTAATATACTCTTATTCTAGTCAAAAGAACTAAAAATTTACTCAAAGATGATGTAGTATTAAACTAAAATGGCTATTGCTAAAAAAAAGGAGACTATAAAATTTTAAATAAGACTAAAGACTAGAAAGGCATTGACAAGCCTAAAAAAGGCTTCATTCTTGTCTCTATATATACTCTTAAGTAAGAGCTATATTGCAATGTCATATATAATCTCTAAAATATATTGATTTTAAAAGATACATATCTTAACTTGCAAGGCAAGTTTTTTATATATATATTATATAGTTAAGTTGTTTTATAAGTTATCAACATATAATTAATTTAT